AGAAGTACTGTAATCATAACCTGATGTGTAAACACTCAAAATTGTTTCCTACCGTAAATATATCAAAACGTAATGTTTGATTAGTAATATGCATTGCTAAGAACTTCATTTGAGCAGCTTTAAAGGCGATTTTCTCAATATGTTGATTTTTTTGCACCCTCAGATTCCAGATTTTCAAATAGTTGTATCTCAGCCAGATATTGTGCTATCCTAACAAGCTCATTTATCCAGCTTTCAGCTGATCTATAAATCTCAATTTCACAAAACTGACCCTTATGACTGGTTTTGTGCTCCAGATAATAAAAACTAAATCTGACTAGTATTGCGGTGAACTGGGTGTGTGAACACGGATGCGGTCTGTGTTTGTGTGTGATATATCAGATGGAGTGGGTGGAGTGTGGAATGCTGGGATCTGTGTGGGCGGGCCTAGAATCCCAGCGCGAGCCGTGATTGGCTGCGACGGACAGTGGGCGGAGAACAGAATCAAAGAGTGCAGTGTTGATGTGTGTGTGTGTTTGACCCTGCATGTTTACATGTGTTTGCGTGTCACATGGGAACACACACACACTCGCGTCCCGAGACTGGAGATCCGGCTCAGACAGGTGGACTTCCACCCCAGATTACTCTAATCCATCCGCTGCTGCTGGGATTTCTGGGATTGACGGATTACAGTTCAGAAGCCGGCGGGCGTCTCGTGATGAAGGAGCTGAAGGAACGTCACTGAGGTCTCACCAAGACTCCAGGACGCTAGTAACTTCACTGCATTTTTTAGTGAAATGAACGGTTCTCAGTTCGTTCTCTGCCGTGCATTTTCTTGTCTTTTTTGTAGTCAATTTTAATTGCATCCGGTTTTAGCTTAGTATTATTTATATACTATTGTAGTTTCATTCATATTTCAAATTGCCTTTAATTTAGTTGCATTTTAGTATAATTAGTTTGAACATGGTGTTAGTTTTTATTTATTTTCTAGTCAGTAATTTAGTGCTTCAACGTATTTCAATTAGTTGCCATGGCAACAGTTCTAATTTTCATTTCTGATTGTTCATCTAATATTTGTTTGATTATAATTCCAGCTTTATTTCTATTAACAGAAATGCTTTTTATTAGTTTTAGTTTTAGTTAATAATAATAACCCTGAGTGCATTGCTGTTTTCAACTCGTGTATTAAATGTACAAAGTGTGAAATTTAAATATTAATATTGAAATAAATTATTTTTATTCAGTTTTTATTTATTTGCAGTGCAGTTTAGTTAGCTGACAAGTTGACAAGCAATATTTATATTTAATCTAATTTCATTTCAATTAGCAGCGACAACAAAAAAAACTAAATAGTTTGACTTTGGTTTTAGTTAACGATAATGAGTGCATTGCTGTTTTCAAGTTTAGTTTTATTACTTGTATGAAGTTTAAAATGTAATACAGTCACTGATTTTTATATAAATATTTGAATTTAATTTATTTTTATTCATTTTAAGGTCTAGTTAGTCGTTTTAGTGCTGTAGCTTGAATTTATTTCAATTATTTGCCAAGGCAACATTTCTAATTTTCATCTGGTTTAAGTTTTTCATCCAACATTTAGATGTTAGACAACCGCTGATGACGGACAGCGGCGTCTAAGAATGACTGTTCGTCCTGCGCCACAGTAAATCTCGCTCTTGTTCTGCTGATGCGAGTGTTTAGTTTTGGTGAATGAGTCAGATCCTGCCCGGATGTTTCTGAACTGGGTCGGAGGAAACAATTACACAATGACTCTTCCTGATGGCGCGTGAAGTCAACTACGATTGTGCTTCCTCTCCATGTGTTTGCGTGTGATCTGCACCATGTTTGTCAACGTACGCAAGATGGTGTCCATTTTCGAAAGCAAAAAACAGCCTCGTCCTCTGTCACTCCCTCCGTGTGAACAAACACAGAGAGAGAACGAGAAAACAAGCCTGACCTCGGAGCCCCGCCCCTCCTCGCTGAGCCCCGCCCCCTCAGCTGTGGTTCATAGGCCACGCCCCCACGCAGGAGAACGAGTGCGAGACGCCGGAGGAGTTCGAAGGGTTCGGGATTCTTGGCCGACGGGGAAGATCGATTACTATCCGAGGGCCAGTCGCTTGGCGGTTTCCATGGAAACCAAAGAGCCAATCAGCAGCAAGCACTCGCCACGTGTACCATCCAAAAACACAATTTCTGGCCTCGGAACATCGTCCATGCCAAAACAAGAGCAAATGTGTTCATCCAAACCCAGCTTCTCATGCACAGAAACACACATAGCTCCACCTGCTGGTCAGATCCCAGAAAATAATCCCGGATCGTCCTGCGTTAGCGATCGGAAATGTCAGAATCCCGTTTGGAGTTCATTGTCTTCCTCTGTGAGAGCAGAAAGGGGCGGGGCTAATACTCACACACGGAAGCCACTCCCCTCTGACTCCACCCTCCTTTCCCTCCTGCTGTTCTTCCACAGGTAACTGGGTTAGTTCGGTCTGTGCGTAATGCTGTGACTTGAGGTTTTCTTTGGGTGGTTTATGATGTATTTGTGGTCGTGGAGACTGAGAGCGTTGTGTGCTGCTGTTATGAGAACCATGTGCTGGCCAGAGTGTTCAGAACAATAGCATCAGTGTTACACACATACAGTCAGGACTGTGTGCGCTCTACTGCTGTTTAAGTCAAATAGCCTGGTTTCTACAGCACTGCAGGGTAGAGAAAGCACTGCAGCGTTTGTGCTTCAGACGTGAATGAGTCCTCAAATCATGTGTTGTTGAGACTGAGCTGCTACTGTACGTAAGTGATCTGACACACCATTTCACTTGCTAGACCTGAAAACAATTGAAAAAACTCACAGATGCACGTTGTAGGTGGGACCCAAGCCATTTCTAGAAACCTTCTAGAAACTCCAGAAATGCCCCAAAAACTGCCTAGTAACAGCTGAGAGACTGCTTAGAAACACCCTATAAACCACCTCTAAACAGCCTAGCAACCGCCTAGAAACAACATAGTAACCGCTTGTAAACATCCTAGAAACAGGATAAAACTGTTGAGAAACCATCTAGAAAAACCTAGAAACAGCCCAAAAACTGCCTAGTAACAGCTTAGAAACACCCTATAATCCACCTTTGCACAGCCTAGCAACCACCTAGAAACAACATAGTAACTGTTTGCAAACAACCTGGTATCTGCCTAGAAACTGCCTGGAAACAGCATAGCAACCGTCTAGAAATAATCTAGAAACTGCCTGGAAACAGCATAGCAACCGTCTAGAAATAATCTAGAAACTGCCTGGAAACAGCATAGCAACCGTCTAGAAATAATCTAGAAACTGCCTGGAAACAGCATAGCAACTGTCTAGAAATAATCTAGAAACGGCCTGGAAACAGCATAGCAACTGTCTAGAAATAATCTAGAAACTGCCTGGAAACAGCATAGTAAGCATAGTGTGAACTGAAAATGCGCCTAATGGAAACGCGTCAATTTCGCAAGAACTACCATATATCACAAAACAGTTTTTAAGCCCACACGAGGTGGTTTATCAGGCAATTCGAAAAAGGATTTAGCAAAACTGCAATGGAAAAGTTTAATATTTTTTTGCTTTCACAGGTCAGCTTGCGTGTCACATGATCATTCTTTCAGAAACACCTCCTACATCTCGAGTATAAGGGGATTTTCTTCTTATGTACACTGCGTTGCAGCTCCGACATGGCCATCGCGTTTCAGAGACAGACCTCTGAAACAGCATAGCAACTGTCTAGAAATAATCTAGAAACTGCCTGGAAACAGCATAGCAACCGTCTAGTTATAATCTAGAAACTGCCTGGAAACAGCATAGTTATAATCTAGAAACTGCCTGGAAACAGCATAGTAAGCATAGTGTGAACTGAAAATGCGCCTAATGGAAACACGTCAATTTCGCAAGAACTACCATATATCACAAAACAGTTTTTAAGCTCACACGAGGTGGTTTATCAGGCAATTCGAAAAAGGATTTAGCAAAACTGCAATGGAAAAGTTTAATATTTTTTTGCTTTCACAGGTCAGCTTGCGTGTCACATGATCATTCTTTCAGAAACACCTCCTACATCTCGAGTATAAGGGGATTTTCTTCTTATGTACACTGCGCTGCAGCTCCGACATGGCCATCGCGTTTCAGAGACAGACCTCTGTCGCGAGAGGAAAACAATTGTTTTTATTCGTATAACATCGGTTAACGGAAATGCGGTCAATTCGCAATAGGTTTTTATCGACATTTATAAAACATCGCAAAAGTTTTGCAAACCCAGCTAATGATTGTTTTATTTTGTGCTGAATCAGTGAGTTGACGGTTTATATACTTGATTATGGAAGTAATTAATGAAAGTTCTTTTCTGTTCAACTCTATCACAGCGGAACTAACAGCAGCATGATCGCCATCGACAACAAGATAGAGCAAGCCATGGTGAGAACATTCAGAATAATAATAATCACAGAGAATACAGATATCGTATTTGTTGTAGTAGTAATTTAAATACGTTTGACGGTTTAACTTCTGTTAAAGTGTGTTTGAGTGTGACTGCTGTAATGTGTGTGTATTCACAATATAATGTGCAGCTTAAGCAGTAGATGGCAGCACTCGCGACACCAGGGTCCCGGGTTCGAATCCCCAGGAATGCGTGCTCTGATGAGATGTGTGTGTGTCTGCAGGACCTGGTGAAGTCTCACCTGATGCTGGCGGTTCGAGAGGAGGTGGAGGTGATGAGAGAGCAGATCAAAGAGCTGTCGGAGAGAAACGCTGAGCTGGAGAGAGAAAACTACATCCTGCGAGCGCTCCGGGACAGAGACTGAGACAAGTGCATCATGGGAGATGTAGTTCAGCGTGAAAAGGGATGGTTAAACGTGTGCAGTATTGAGCGATGAGTGCCTTAAAACGCAGTAACAACTAATCAAGAAATTATTCAATAATGTTGATGACGCCCTAAACAGTGCCTATATTTATTACTGTCAGTGTGTGTGTGTGAGAGAGAGAGAGAGCGTGTGTGTGAGAGAGA